AGCTAGATCCTAGTCTTCCCCATGAAGTCATGAGGTGTTTTGGGAATAAACAAGACAACATTAAATTATTTATATAGAGTGGAAAAAAAGAACTGACAGGTGATATAAGTCAAGAAAGACAGGATGCCAAAAAAAAAAAAAATCACAAGCATGTACCTTGTTAAACTCGAATACTTTTCTTTTCAGAGCCATCTTTAACCTCGGGACAGCTTGCCTTGGCTATACTGGCTTTGGGAGCATGTAAAGCACCTGGTGGAATGTCTATAAATTATTCTGAACTGGTCAAAAGACTAGGAAATAAATACAAAGCAGAAATCAGAAATATGGGTGAGAGTCAAATGTTCAGAGTCCCTGGACAACTTGCCTTCTCCACTGGTTCAGATCTCAATGAAGTTTCCCTTCAGTCTTTCCTTCTCTTCATTCTGTTCATCCCACATATCTTTGATCATTTTCCCTTCTTCCCTCTTTCAACATGCATCTTGAGTTTTCTTCTCAAATAGATCCAAATGAGCATGGACTTTACATGCACCTTACATAAGATGATGAACACACACACACACACACACACACACACACACAAACTAATAGAACACAGTTTTTTTGTTCTCTAGAAGCTTGGCTTTTAGACAAATAATGAAATACACCAGAAATGGCTGAGCAATACAAGACACTATGTCAGAAGTACCAAAACATATAATACTAGTAGAAGACATAAAGAGATAAAGATGGCCAAAAGTGCTTTATCACTGGGAAAAATAGGCTGATAGTGATCGTGGCTACTGAGGGGCATTGTTTTTATTTCAACACCCACCCAGTATTCATCCTGTTATCCATTAAGCTGTTCTAATCCCATCTTCTTGGGAGATGGCCTCTACTTCTTCCACTTCTACTTATAGTTCAAACACATTTCCATTCAAAGTGCAAGAAGCTTAGTGGTGGGAAATCTGCATTCTAGTCCTACTTCTGTAACCACCTGAGTATCAGGATGGTACTTTAATCTCTTTAGTGCCGAGTCACCTCAGTTATAAAATGAAAGCAGTTGAGTTAAATTGGTGGCTCTTAACCTTTACATTTCTTAGGTTTGATGATTCTATGAGTGATCTTTCTCTCTCTATTACTCACCTTTCCTTAAATGTAAAGAAATTCTAAAAAAGCAGGTAGGAAAGGACTGAAAGTTTATTACTCCACTATTATTTCCATGAGTAAGGTATTTCTTTCCTCTCTGACAGAAGATCATAATGGTAATCCACTGACTAACTACTACCAGCTCAGCCTGGACATTTTGGCCTTGTGTCTGTTCAGTGGGAATTACTCAATCACTGAAGTTGCTAAATTCCTCAATCCTGAAAATAAAAATTACTATTTTCATGGACAGTTCTCAGTAGGTGAGTGATTATACCCAGTTCCCTTGGCATAGAGGACACAGTCACTGGTAAGTCTTTTCCTTTGAGTTTTTCTACCTGTAAATACTTGGACTTTATTTTTATCCTCTTTACCCTAGTGATCAGGGAAGAGAATTTTCTTTTTGAGAAGAACGAATATTGGGGGGCATTTAAGCCTCTTTCTAGATATCTAATATAGTAGAAAGATCCAGTTCCTACACTACTCCTTCTTTGAATTATATAACCAATGGATATTAACTCTTGACCTTAATTTTCTCATCTGTAAAATAAAGATAGATTGTGAAAATCTTCATATAAGACATTTTAGGAAGTGTAAGGATAGAGGCAGGAAAACAGTGGAATTCCTTTAACTTAACTTCACCTCTCTCTCTAATTTATTGGGAGCACTGAATGTGTGGGCTTACTTGGACAACACAACCTCTCCATGGACAAGGCCCAATATTTTGTTTAATAAAGTCTGTACCTTCAATAGACAAGGACTAGAAATTTTCTCCTGGGTCAGTTTACACATCCAAAAAGAAGCCCCCTCTAGACAGCTAGTATTGTTGCTCAGCCCTATGGATCCAGATACACAAGCTCATCTTTCTCCAAGAAGCCCAAAGAGAATCACCACTCAGTATCTCTGGATAGTAAGGTGAGATTTCTTTCTATGGGAGAGGGAAGGTACCACACTTAAAGAATCCAGCAGGGGAACTAAGTAACAAGCCAGGAAAAAATATTTTATCCTCCCTTCTTCCAAACTCTTGCTTCATCCTCCCCCTTCAGAAGCTTTATTGGAAAACAACTCTCTTAAGTGCTATTTTTCTAATCAGCCTAATGGAAACATTGGAACACTGCAAAGACATATGTTGCTTGGGGTATCATCATGAATTCTCCCAATTCCTTTGCCAATATGGCTGAGAGATGAAAAAAAAAATGAGAACAGCCAAGATGTAGAAGTGGAAAACTGTCCAGGTATATGCACCTGCAAATCTGTATGTGTTCCTATGACCAACAGGTGAGTTACTGTGTACAAGGCACAGGGATACTGAACATAAGAAAGGGATCTTGAAATATTTGAGTGTTTAGTGCTGAAGAGATGATTGCTATCTCTTCAAGTCCTTCTCTCCTATCATCAACTAGGATGACCAATCTTCCCAGTTTGTCCAGATATGAGCCTCTTTTACTGATGAAAATCCTACCTACCAGGAGACCCCTCAGACCAAGGCAAACTGGAATGGTTGGTCACCCTATCACCAATGTTTTGTTTCCTGGCAGATACTGGTGCGATGGCTGTCCTGGCTCTGACTTGTGTGAAGAACAAAACAAGAGGGCAGAAACAAATAGATAGAAAGGATATAGAGAATATTAATAATTATACAGAGTCACTGATAAACAAGATTCTGTCTCAGAAAACAGAAAATGGTCTCCTCGGAAACATATATAGTACAGGAGAAGCTATGCAGGTAAGTCAGAGGGTAAAACAGGAGACAGAGAAGAGAGTCATGAAGGAAAGAAATATCTATATCCCTTCTTCCTGGCCCCAGAAGATATTATCCACTCTGTTTCCTATACGAACTGATTTTAGGTGATTCTTCTCCCCTGATGGAAATGTATTCTCCTCACCTTAGATCCTTACATTTCCATGTCCAGTGCTTCCATGAAGCTTTTCCTGACTACAACTTTTTTTAATTTTAGAGTCTATTCCAACCTCCTATGTTGTTCTATCAAATGCAATTTCACCATATGCCATATGCCAGCGTTTGGTTCTTGCCTCTTATCTCCCAAATTAGATTATGGTTGTCCAAGTGATAAGAGGCAGTGCCAGTAATACCAGCTAGTATTTACTGGCATGCTCATTAATGCACACAACAGCCCAGTGAGGAAAATATTATTAGCTCCAATTCCCAGAATAAGAGCATGAGTCATGGAATATCAGTAACTTGCCTAACATTACAAGGCCAAAAAGTGATTTACATGGAGAGGGAACCTAAACAGTTGGTTTCAAAACTCATACTTGGCACCCACTCTGTCCTGTATATGTTCCTTGAAGTCTGAGGCTTTATTCCTGCACTCACTCACTGATTTACATGACCCTAAGGGGTAGATACAAGAAGAGATGAAGGAAGATTGACAGGAAACAAAATTTCCCTGAGTCTTTAGTACGAGCAGGGGTCTGCCAGGCCATCCCAGGATGAGAGGGCTTTCCAAGGGAGAGAGGACAGCAAGGACAAAGACCAGAAGCATGAAAGAACATTTTAGCAAGATCAAGGTGTTCAATGTGGCCAGTGAGGGTCCTCGAGAAAAATTACAAGAAGCTGGGGGTGTAATAGTGGTCCAATCACGCAGGCTGTGTTTACTGCTGGTGAGAGGCTGTTGTCTGTCTTGCTGAGTTTGGCCTTCATAGAACACTGGCTGTCCATTCTGGCTGCACATATGAATCATCTAGAGGAGCTTTTGGAAAACACTAATATTTAGGCTCCATCAGCCAGTCAATATAGAAACTGAGAGGTGGAGCATGGGCCTTGGTCTGGTTTTACATTTTTTCATTTGAATTCAAATAGCCAACATATAATACATGACTTGTTTTTTGATGTAATGTTCAATGTTTCATTAGTTACATATAACACCCAGCTTGGTCTGGTTTTAAAACCCTACAGGGGACATTTATTCACAGCAGACTTGGGAACTGCTTGCCTACAAGACAGTTTTGAAGATGAAATGAAATATAATCCTTTTTATATATTTTTTTATCTTTTTTTAAGATTTTATTTATTTATTTGACAGACAGAGATCACAAGTAGGCCGAGAGGCAGGGAGAGAAAGAGGAGGAAGCAGGCTCCCTGCTGAGCAGAGCGCCCAATATGGGCTCAATCCCAGGACCCTGAGATCATGTCCCAAAGGCAGAGGCCTTAACCCACTGAGCCACCCAGGCACCCCTATAATCCTTTTTTTAAAATATCCCACAAATGCTTGTTGACTTCTTGGTTAACTTAAAGGGTCTTCAGGAAAAATGAAAAGAGGAACCGTCCTTCCCTTAGAAACTACAGAGTGACATCTGCAGGACCAACCCGTTTTTGTCCTTGTCTTACTCACTCTGATACCTTCCTAAATTTTCCTACCCTGTCATGCTGTCCCCTCCAGTTTACATTTGCTGCTTCTATAGTTTCTATTCAAGAATCTATTTGACTCCACACTGTTCAGGAAATAATGTCAGACACCTCACTCTGAAGCTCAGGGATCCACCAATGTGGCCCCAACCTCATTCTCTAGCCTGCTCTTCCACAATTACCCTGAGTCTCCCCTGTACACCAGCCCTCCAAGGCCATGAGGAATTCCCCAGGGATTTTGCAGACAGTGTCATCAGAGACAGGCCATGCCCTGGCCTCCCCTACTCTAGCATCCTTGATCATGCTATTCCCTCTGGGTATAGTGCTCCTCTCCTGTCTCCTACTGAAATGCTGTCATACCATCAAGGTCTACCTCAAGTACTACCTTCCTCAAGTATGTGCTCTCCCTCTTCTGAAAAGCCATGGCACTAGATGCTTCTCTTAAGGCATTCACCTTAGGGACTCCTTCATGATTGTCTATTAACAGCATTTATTAGGTATCTCCCATGTGAAAGGTATTGTTCCGTGTCAAGGCTACAAGAGTAAATAGGTAAAGTCTGTTCTTATTGATGTCATTACTGGTTGTGTTATTAAGCAATTCTCCATCTCCCCCCAAACTAGTTTTTAAACTTCTTGGTGTCGGGAAAGGTATCCTAGTTATCTAAGGTGCTTCCCCTGTGGTCAGTGTCCAGTAAATATTTACTGAATTCATTAGATGTAGGTTTTTGCCCTATTTGACCTTTCTCTCATTCATTCTCATTCCCTTTCATTCTTTCTCTCACACATTAGGCTCTCTTTGTCTCACCCAACTATTACAACGAAAATCAATGGGTTTGCGAAAAAACACGGGACACAGTGCTCACAGAAATTTCTCGAGGAGCATTCCGTATCCCAACTGCTGCAGCTCAAATCTTACCAGCCCTAATGGGAAAGACCTACCTGGATGTTAACAAAGACTCTTCCTGTGTCTACGGCTCAGGTAGAGTACTAAAGAGCAGAATACCCAAAGAATGTGAGACTAAGATGTTCTTAGGGACCAAAACTGACCAGATAAACGCCTAAAGCATAACAGTTCCCAGATATAATGCGGTCCTCCATGTGTCACCAGTGATTATAACCACCTGAGGATTTGTTCTTAACAGTGTTGTAGATGGTTGTTCTTATTTCAAACACTGATAAACAATGTAGACTTGATTCAGTAATGTCTATCTTCAAAGGGATGTTTTCTGATGGTTAGAGAGATGTTCTAAGCATCATTCCCATTCTAAACAAAGTATGCTCTCTGACTCTCCATTATGCACAATGAGTGAGCCCTCAGGGAACTCAGAGGAATATGGAAGGAATATGGAAGGGTTATAATAAGAAAATTAGAACATGAATCATTTATTCAAACAACTGATTTTTAAACCAGGGATGAAAGAAGATTTGACTTTTATCTATGTTCATTCCTGGCTCAGCCACTTGCAGGTTTAGAAACCTCAGACAAAATGTTTAATCTCTAAACTTCAGTTTACTAATATAAAACATGCAAATGATAAACATACCTAACATGGATATTTGTAAGGACTGAATAAGATAAGCTGTGTAAAATGATTAGTACAGTGCCTGATACTTAATATGTCTTCAATAAGTGTTAAAAAATAAAAGACATCCCAAAAAGGGAAGCATCATTATAGGCTATACAAAAGAAAAAGAAAAGAAAAGAAAAATTCAGGAGGGTTGATGAGAAAGAGGAGACAGGGAACCTGCATTGTTTAAACAGCTGGGAGTGAAGCTGAGCCACACATTTACAAGCTGGTGCCTATCTGGTTTAGGCACACAAGAGATCCGCCCCTTGGCTGATGATTCTTGCTCCTTGTAGCAATCCTCCTCTACCTAAAGGAAAGCTGGCCTGGGGGAGGGGTTGGATGTGTTTATAAACTTGAACATCACTTTTATTTTTCTGAATAGTAATTCTTCTCTGCTTTTCTGTTTCTGCCAGATTCCTTCCCCACTTCCACTCAGGAGCCTATTATATCAGTGACACCTGCTGTCTCACCTTCACAAATCCAAGTAAATTACTCTGTGGTAATTGATAACAGAAAAGATCGCATTGTGGTCTCTGTGACAGATGGTTCTGTCTTCCTAAATGTGATGGAACAAGCTCAGAAAGAAAATCCAACTCTATTTAGGTATGTCTGTGCCTAACCTAAGGTGAAGGTATTTGGGTGATTTTGAAAGACTCAGTAAGAACACATAAGTACCTGAATAAAAGTACATTTGAAACACGTCTTCATTAGTACTTTGCTGTCCATCTACATCTCATGGCAGGGGTTAAAATAAAGTGAGACATTCCATCTTCCAACACAGAGTAGGTACTAAATTAATGTTCACTTAATGGGTGAATAAGTCCAAGGGATCTCTCTTCTGTCAGTAAAATTCCTTCAACAAAGAGAACCTCTTAGCTCAGCCATTTTGTGTTCAGAACACTGGGTCATTATCTTTGAATCACTGACCCCTTTGAAAATCAGATGAGTGCAGTGGCTTCTGATCCCAGACAAGTAAACATAGACACAAAACTTGTCCTTTAAATCAGAGGTTTCACAAATGCCCTAAGTCTCTCCATGCTCCCCCCTTTCAGATTTATGGAGCCCTAGATTTGGGTTTCCTGGCCTAAAGAGGTCAAATATTAAAATTAAGATATTAACTTTGCCTCTGAAAGGTATGATTCACTTGACTCCCTAAACGTAATCAGCAATTATTTACTTTGTCTAGTAACATGATGTAAGATGCCATAGAGAAAATTTTATATATATAGTATGTACTGTAAATGTTATGCGCACGCACACATGCACACACACACATACACACACACACACAATGTAAGTATTTTAAAGGTTGCTTTCAAGGGCTCCCAGGAAGGCAGAGAAATGTGGCCAGGGAATGTGAAACAAACATTGGTCATGTCACTTTTTAATAAACACAATATGAAATATTAAGTTGCTCTTTCCTGTTCTTCTTTCCTAAGAGAAAACCTACTTACTTATGATGCCTCTAGGTTGTGAGGTTAACATTTTCTTCTGCTGCTTTTGTCTCTTCAACCATTACTATCTTGGGGCAGAAGATTAGCAGTTGTTGAATACAGAGTGTCCACCACGAAGGGAGGCAGGGGCAGAAACAGGCTTCATTCCTCTACTTCAGCAGAGATTGTGCAGTGCCTGCATCAGAACCACCTGGAGTGTTTATGACACATGCAGATTCCTAGTCACCACCTATTTACCTACAGAATCAAAGGATCTGAGGATAGGGCCGAGAAATCTGCTTTTCTTGATAATGGCTTCAAATGATTCTTAGGTCCATTGAAGTTTAAGAAATGCCCATTAAAGTTGCCCTTGAAAGTTTTAAGTTCTTGAAACCCATTTATTGTCCCCACAGGTTCAAAACAAAGGAGACCGCATGGGGCCCCTACATCATCAGTGTTCAGGGCATAGAGGCCAGCACTAATGACAGGACCTACTGGGAGCTCCGGAGCAATGGTGAACCCCTGAGCCAAGGTAAGGGAGAGAGCGCTAAAAAGTCCCACAGAGTGACAATGCCCCAAACATCCCAATGTGTGTGAGCTTTGGTGGGGAATGTGCCAAGGTGTTGGGAAAGTGAGATCCATTATTTGGTGATTTGGTAGTTAAATCATTTGAACCATTGGGCACCTGGATGACTCAGTCTCTTGATGACTGATGACTCAGTCCATCTCTTCTTTTCAGCTCAGGCCATGATCTCAGGGTTGTGAAATCAAGCCCTGAGTAGGGCTCCACGCTCAGTGAGGAGTCTGCTTGAGATACTCTCCCTCTCCCTCTTCCTCTGCCCCTCCCCTTCCCTGCTCCTATTCTCTTTCTCTCTAAAATAAATAAATCTTTAAAAGAATCATTTGATCCACTTTTCATTCTTCCTTTTCAGGAGCTGGTAGTTATGTTGTCCATGCAGGAGATGATTTGGAGGTTCGCTGGAGCACATACTAATAAATTTAAACAGTGGACTTACAGGCAGAGATTGGCCTCATAAATTCCTTTTCTCTCATCTCCATTTCAATAGGAGCATCAATAACCTCCCCTTCTCTCTTTATGTGTTCAATAAAAGATCAACAACAATACAAAAGGAGCATTTTCTAATCATTTCATTTTAAAGGGGGATTATTGATAGAAGGAAGGGGAAGGGAAAAGAGATTAGACCATATGTCTAAACTGAGTTCTACTCAAGGTTCCACTGCTAACTGTGTGGATGACCTCAGGCAGTGAGTGGGAATGGAGACAAGGTTCTAGATCTAGTGTTGAAGCAGCAGCCAATGAGATCAGGAAGAAAATCTCTAGGGAGGCAGTTCTCTGAGGCCCAGATGTAATGGAATAACTGAGTGGACACACTGACCTCAGAAAGGCAGTGGGTAGAGAGAAAAAATACTGCTCTGAAGAAAGAGGGAAAGGTGAGACTTCTACATAAAAGACCAGTCCATAAAGTCTCAGGAATACTCTCCAGCTATCTCCCTTGGGTTCCATTTTTTTCTTCTTCTACATGTATTTTCCTTTTATTCCACCATAAAAATCACTCTGATATTCATATCATCAAAATGCACATGTGGAAAAAATCACCTTTGATGATTTCAGTAGAATTCACATTTTAAAAATATATATATTAAATCAGGGGCACCGACAGGTGCCTGGGTGGCTCAGTCAGTTCAGCAGCTGACTCTTGGTTTTGGCTCAGGTCATTGAACTTAACGCCCTGGGATCAGTGGTGTTGGTTTACCTGTCCAAAGAGGAGTCTATTTGAAGATTCTCTCTCTCCCATTCCCTCTTCCCTCTGTACCTCACCCAGCTCTCTCTCTCTCTCTCTCTCTCTCTCTCAAATAAATAAATCTAAAAATAAAAATAAGTCAGGGGTGCCTGGGTGCCTCAGTCAGTTAAGTGTCCCATACTTGAGTTCTGCTCAGTCATGAGCTCAGCGAGGTTTAGCAACACGGCTAGCTCCATGCTGAACGTGAAGCCTGCTTCAGATTCTTTCCCCCCTTCCCTCTGCCTCCCCGTCTGCTCCTTACCTCGCTCTCTCTCAAATAAATAAATAAAATCTTTAAATAAAGTTACCCCAAAAAGAAGACGCCTTCAGGCAGAATTAGTTAAATTATTTTATAAGTGTCACCGTGTCACCCTCATTTCTCCTGTGTTCCCTTCATGATACTCTTAGCTTCCTCCCCTCCACCAGCAACACTGCTTCATAGTCAGGCTTTGACCATTGCTTTCTGGTACTGGTCCTCAACCCTCAGGGTCATGTCCACCTATCCTTCATTAACTGGATATGACAGATGACCTCATCACTAGACAGCAATGGATTCTATCCCCTTGGGTCTAGGTCTCATTTTGAAAGCTAAGTTAGAGACAGGAGACGTCCATGGTGCTGTTCACATGGGCAGCAGCTGTCAGACCTGTTTGTAGACTCTACAAGCTATGTGAAATTGAGGGATAATGGCTTATGGTGATAAATATGCAGAATGTTACATAATTGCTATTCCTGACTATGATACACAGTGTGACCATACAACTTATCATCCAACCTCAACACTGTAAAGAGTGAAAGCAAACACTGTTAATAATTACACTCAAAAAGACAGATTAGAAACTGGTAATATCCTCGGGAAAAAAAAAAAAACAGCACATATGGTTGGTTTTGTCCATCAGGAAAAATAATGACACTCAAGCAAAAAATTACAGGAAGTACTGAACCTCCAATGGACACTGAAATTGAATCTCAAAATAACGAAGTTGGAATGGGTCCTTTTGAGATTGCAGACAATTTCACAAAGATTCTAGGTCACTTTCGATAATAACCATTCAACATCAGTAAAGCACACAATTTATATTAGATCTTTTATCCCAAATGTGGTATAAGGATATTCTAGTTGGCACACTGACACAGAATCAAATAACATGTTATCACAGCATGAAAAAGTCATTTCCTTGGCAATTCTCATTTAATTCCTCTCGGAGGATCAAACATAAAATCTCAGTTTATGCCACTGTGTTTCTAACACTTCCCTGTAGCACCATGAGCCTCCATTCCTAACAGAGCTCAGACAGTAGAATATAGTAACATTGCTATCTGACTGGAATGCCTTTAATCACAAAGACAGACATGGAGAGAAATGGAGTAACATTCCCTTTGCATTCTACTGACATTGCCCAGGGAATCCTAGCTCTGGCCACACCTGTCTTATGAGAAGCTCTAAGGCTTAACACTACGACAGAACTGAGAGAATCTGAGGGGAGAAACTTCCCTCTGCTGCCACAGCAGAGAATAATCAACACAAATAAACCTCTCAGATGTCCATTGAGAGTCTGTGTGCTTGGATGCCAGACAGTGAGGCACAGGAGAAAACAGGCAAATAAATTGATAAATTTCCACAAGGAATGCCTGGGTGGCTCAGTCAGTTGAGTATCTGACTCTTGATTTTGGCCCAGTCATGATCTGAGTCCTGAGATCAAGGTCCAAATCAGGCTCTGTGCTCAGCATGGAACCTGCTTCAGATTCTCTTCCTCCCTCTCTCTCACTCTGCCCCTCCCCCATCTTCCCCCAACACCCCGTCTCTTAAAAAAAAAAATATTTCCCTCAATAGTTAATCAAGGACTGTTGAAATATATGAGTTAAGAAATGTATGGCCTGTGTGGTTTCTGTTCTGGAAGTTATTTGCTAAGTGAGACAATTGTATCATAATCAGTCTTGCAACAACCATGGCTGTGGCAATTTATAAGGAAAAGTGTGTTTAAAGAGCAGGCACATGAAGGGGTTGTGGCTTATCTCAGGATGGGCACAATCAGGCACTGAAACCCAAAGTCAGTGCCATGCTGGGATCCTAATCCTGTGTTAGATTCTTACTGCTGCTGCAACAAATTACCACTAATTACTGGCTTAAGGCAAACACATCATCGTACAGTTGTGGAGGTCAGAAGTCAGAAAGGGGTTTCACTGAGATAAAATCAAGGTGTTGAAAGGGCTGAGTTCCTTCTAGAGGTTCTAGGGGAGAAACCCATTTCCTCACCTACTCCAGCTTCTGGAGGAAGCTAGCATTCCTCCACCTTCAAAGCAGCACTCAGATCACTCCCACCTCTGTTCCCATCACCATATCCCCTTCTCTGACTCACTCTGCTGCCTCTCTCTTCCACTGATAAGGACCTCTGATTACAGTGGATCCTCTGATATAAACCAAAATAATCTTCTTATATTAAAATCAGCTCACTTTAGCAACCTTAGGTCCCCCTTGCCATGTGACCTAACATATTCATAGATTTCAGAGATGAGGATGTAGATACCTGTATGGGGTTGGGCGTGGGCATTGTGCCTACCACTCCTTCACATGACATGCAAACCCTTCAAACTGTCTTTCTTGTCTCACCCCACTGTACACTATGTAGTAGATAATAATACAAAACTTGATGGCTTAGAAAAACAAGATATATTATCTCAAGTTTCTGTGGGTCAGAGTCTCTCAATGAGGCCACAATCAAGATGTCAAATGAAGCTTCATCTGAAAGCTCAACTGGGGAAGAATCAGCTTTCAAGATCATTCACATGGTTGTTGGCAGGATTTCTGCTTCCCTGGCTGTTGACTGGAAGCTACCCCCAGTTCTTTCCATAGAGGCTTCTCTATCAGGCAGCTCAGAACATGGCAGCTGGCTTTCTCAGAGCAAGAAGCAAGAAGAACCAGAAAGAGACTTCAAGCAAGAGGGAAGTTGGACCTTTGTCTCATCATATAACTTTTCCTGTATTATATTCATGAGAAGTGAGGCCAGCCCACCCTCTGGGGAAGGGGATTTCACAAGGGCATGGATATCAGGATGTGGGAACACGGGGCCATGTCAAAAGCTGTCTAATGCACTCCAATATATATCCTGTGCTTTCATCTCACAAAACCACCAACACTCCCCTGAGAAAGAAAAAGAATGTCCTATATTTGTTCATTAATTTGCTCATCGAAAAATTATTCTGTTCCTACTATGAAATAAGCAGTACAGTAGCTCAAGAGCTGGAGACAGAACAGTGAACAAGAAACAAAGACCCTTCCCCCTTGGTGTGGACATTCCAGTGGAGAGGGTGACAGACAATAAACAAACCACACAGTGTGACAGAGGGTGAGGAACCATAACAGGGAAGGAGCACAGTGGGTGTCCATGGGGGTGACACTGTCTTCTACATAAGAGAGATGGTCTGGGAAGACCTCTTTGAGAACTGGCCCTTGAGCAAAGACATGAAGGAAGTGTGGGAGCCACAATGAGAATATTTGAGGAGGAGTGTCCCGGGCAGTGTGGACAGCAAATCCAAAGTCAGGTGATGGATTCAGGGAACAAGAAGCTCAGTGCCACTGGAGCAGAGGGAGCAAGGGAGAAGGCAGTTGGAGGGGAGGTCCAAAAGGCAACCAGGAGCCAGAACTGACAGGGTCTTGTCATTAAAAAGGACTTGGAATTTTATTCTAAGATCGGAGTTACTAAAGAACAGCCCCACCAAATGAAGCTGCTTAAATTCCAGTAGTTACAAAAAAAATTAGCCCCTCCCTTCATAATTTCAAATACTATTTCTAGTTATATGTTATAGGAAGGTATACTTTGCTTTAATATAGCTGCATTTAACATTTAATATAGTCCATTGATCCACATTTTCTAATTACTTACTTTAAAAGATAGTATCTGAAAGCCCTAGGTGTTTGAAACTGCTTTGTTCCCAGATAAAGAAAGAAAAGTCAAATGAAACAATCTCTGGGCGGGGCCCCTGGGTGGTTCAGGTCCACTAAGCATCCGCTCTTGATGTCAGCTCAGGTCTTGATCTCAGGGTCATGAGCTGGAGCCCTGCCTTGGGTTCCACACTGGGCATGGAGCCTACTTAAAAAACAAACATACAGTTTCTGGGAAGCTTGGGTCCATTACTCACCTGAAGTCAAACAACCTTAAAGGGCCTAGGCTGGGACTCAGGTCGCGGCAACTTATTAACTGCATAAAGGCCAACTTCACAAAGCAAGTGCCTCGAACCATAAGTAAGGTGGTGCCTTAAGAACTGCCTAACCTTCGGTGAAGCAGCTACTGACCAACAGCCAGGAGGTTGTCTGGGCAGGTGTG